GGGGGGGGGGGGGGATGACGTGTGCACGTGTGGCCAACGTCACTTCAGGTCAGGTCCTGCGCCACGCGGCCCAAAGTACATTGTCGGCTGGTCGGCCACGCACCGAACCGGTCGGTTCGACGCAAGGCCAGTCGGTTCAGAGAGGGATCGGCTCGCAGGGTCTAGTAGTGTGTTCGTGCTTTATGAGAGGACTTGTTGACGACCGCAAAAAAAGAGTCCATTTAAAGGGTGAAAAAAACATTGAACCTCTGCGAGCCGCGAGGGCACGAGGCGAAACTATGCTCAGTCAGGATTGTGAAACAGTTTCTTAATTACCGAGGATCGCCATCAAATAATTGCTGAGCTCATGAAATGTCAGAACAATATACAATTACAGAACAGTATGAGAAATGATAGCGAAGCTGTTGAAGCAGGGGACATGGGGCACACCGTGAGGGATCACCTGACACTGTCGCCAACATAAAAATAGCATACAACACAATAAAACATTTTAAAACAGTCTCGTTCACAAAAATAAGTTTATGTATTAAATATGTCAAACAAGTCACAAAAAATGATATTTTAAAGTTATGGTCGTTTCACAAACAACATAAAAGTAGGAATGTTACGATTTCATTACATTTATTGTTTTGCAGGTTGGCAAAAGAAAGAGGGTAGCAGAAGACTTTCCCACACCCACACCACTACAAACCACGTTCTTTTCCGTGCCGTTTTCAAAAAAAGGATAAATGATTTCATAATCAAATCAAAGGCAGAAAATAAAATAGTGTTAGCAATATTTCTAGACCTAAGTAAAGCTTTCGACTGTGTAGATCACAGCATTCTACTCGACATAATTGAAAAATGGTATAAGAGGAAAAGCCTTAAGGCTAGTCTCTTCATATCTGAATGATAGACAACAAGTAGTACTTGTTAAGGACAGCAAATCAAACAATACTGTAAGTTCCCTATTTAAGACTGTAAAAAAAGGCGTTCCACAAGGGTCAGTTTTTGGACCATACCTTTTTATCTTGTATACTAATTGTATTAGGAGTATTATCGAAAAATATGGCTGTGAATTTATACTATATGTGGACGACACAAATATCCTTATTAAAAGTAGTAACATAGAGGAGGCTCAGCAAATTGCTAAAGAGATTCTATCCGAAATTTCTCTATTTTTCGCCTCTCTAAATCTAGCGCTAAACTTATCAAAAACAGTACTCATGTCCTTCAATTGTAACGAAAATACTAACTTAAAAGTTAATCAGGTTCAGATTGAACAAGTAAAAGCATCAAAATTCCTTGGTATAGAAATAGACTGTTATTTAAAATGGGACAAACATATTGAAAAAGTAATCAAAAGTATAAATCGTGGAATTTTTGTACTCAGCCAAACCAGTCTAGCTTTAGATAAGAAACATAACATACTTGTTTTTAATGCCTTCATCCAATCATTTTTATCATATGGAATTTTAATATGGGGAAATGAAAAAGGTAACAAAGAACTCTTGGGTGCTCTATTTCGTAAACAGAAAAAAGCTATGAGAATTCTGAATGGTATAAAAGATCAAACAATGTCTTGTCGACCCCTCTTTAAGAAGGATAATATCCTTACTGTTACTAGTCTCTTCATATATTTTAATTGTTTGTATGCAAAAAAAAGTAATAATGTATCGTCAAATGCTAGTCACTGTTATAATACTAGAAATAAGGATAAAATAAGAAATAACATTTTAAATGAGAAATCAGTAAAAGAATACTCTTATTACATTTTACGTAAGCTGCCGGACAGCATTTTTACCATAACACCTATAAATAGATTTAAGAAAAAGCTAAAGGAGTTTTTAATCGATAATTGCTTTTATAGTATGGATGAATTTTTAATGTTTTGTGCTTAAGAAGAACCTATGATTTGTACCAAATTCTTTTATTGACAATTCTGAAGTGTATCATGATGTATG